TTTCTGCTACCGTGATAGCCACTACACATTTCAAGAGTAATATCAACATGGTAGTTACAGATATGGAACTATTTGCCTTTTTACAGATATGGAACTATTTGTTTTTTACTTATCATAGATTAGCAAATAAGGCATGGTTTGAAATTATTATACACACAATGTGATTTCAAATAATTAAATTAGTGATTATTAAAAAGACTTTTAATTCCACAAATTCTGTTTCAAATGACAATTATATTTCAAAAGCAAAACTACTCCATTACAACGTGAGTGAATTGTGAATTCCGAGTCTCAGTTCGGCAACACTGAATCTGTACATAAGGCAAATAATCATAAAAAAAAAAAAAAAAAAAAAAAAAAAAAAAACCTTCTAAGAAACAGTATATTCATAATTTGTTATAAGAATATATTCTGAAACTTATTCAGATTTCTGAAGTTTTTTAAAAATAACACTTTTTTTTTACTAAAATATATAAGTTGCTATTTCAGTGTCGGTGAAGTATCAAACTTTCAATACAGAGCTATATAAATTTCTATCCATAAAAAAATTTCTTAAATTTTCATCAGTAGCTAATAACAGATTTTATTTCAGATTTTAAAAATGCACTCATATATATATATATATATATTTGTTCTGTTTTACCACTCAGCAAAACTTGAGTGAATTTTTTGGCATGGGGTTTGCTTTCACATCATTTTGAGTTTATTAACTTTCTTTAGGGATATGGTCACTTTTATCTGGTTGCAGGTATAGTCTTCTTTTTATTTTTTGTTTATTATATCTATCTTTAAAACATATTAAACTCACATTCCCTACATTGATTATATATTCGTTATGAAAATGAATAGTTGGGCAAAAGAATGCATAAGACAATTTAATGAACATTATATAACATTACAGAACTAATTGTAGAATGGCTACTATCTGGAAGGCTATCAAATACTGCATTTTAAAGTAAATAATAGTAACGTATTTCTGTCGTAGTTATATGAGAACTGCATAATATGAGATTATAGTATAGTTAGTTATATAAGAATATCTGAAATAATATTTTCACAAGCATACGCATAATGTTTCAATACACAGCAGAAAAAGTTGTAAAATAATACACATCCGGAAATAAGTGTCAAACGTAGCTAGTTATCTGATGCATATGTAGAATATATGAGCAGGAATATGATATATTTATACATATACGAAATCGGATCCAAAAGTAATTGCCCTGCGTTTTCGTCATAAATGCACATTACTTGACTTTTAATGCTAATTTAGCAATATAACAGAATTAAATTAGCAATCACTTACCAAACAGAAACAAACACATCTTAATCCCGTTTTTCCCCATATACTTCCCTTTTCTTCCCTCACATGACATTTACTTCCGTTGGCATAATGAAATGTCGCCTATACCCTTAAAGGAGCCAAGTTGCCGCAACTAAGGCTGTTCTCCGAAGAATATCCAAACTTTGCCCATGCGAAAGGTACGTGAGTTCATCTGGAAAGATTGGGTTATTTGAACATGGGAAAGCACAGGGGGGTTGCCTTCGTTGAGGACTTTCTAACGAAAACTGATATTTCCTAACCACAGTGGAAGATAAGGTTATAGGGAACTCTGCCACTGATATTAGCTGCTCTACATCTCTTATTCGCATGTTTTGCTTTTTAATGTCATCCCCCACCCAAGCAAGGTCTACACAAGAAGTTCTCTATCTTACTCGGACGCGAAGTTTTAAACTGACTAACTGGTAACCAAAGTAACTGCCAAGCGCTTCCGAATATATTATTTCTGGATATAATATTTCCCGATTATGCGGTGTGCGAACAATCGGATACCGGATTATCGGATTTTTGCTGTATTTCATTTAGGCAATGCAAAGCTTTCTGAAAATTATCTACAGTCCTTACTATTAGCGTACTTGTCGATATGGCTCGTACTAATCAGACTCCTCGAAGTGAAGCGGTTCCACCAGACAAATGCACGGATCCGGTTTCGGACACTTCGAATACGGCGGACACTGATATGGACTTGGGCACTGATCATGTTTTTACCGACGAAGAAATCACTGCGATACGAGTAGAAATTCTGAAAGAAGAAGCTGAATTAGAGGGCTGTAAGCATTCTTACGATATACTCTCGGCTAGCAGACCTGTTACGGACCGTGACTACCATACGGATCTTTTGAGAAAGCAAATGGTCAAACAGAAGAAGACGATAGAATTGCTGAGGGGTTAAATTAACTTATGCTCTATCTCATGCAAGCTCCACACACACACACACACTCAACTCAAACGCAAACCGGATGATAATTCAGACAGCGAAGAAGACCCGGACGGATTTCAGAAACCAGTTAAGACACTGCTAAAGTACCCAAAAATATACCAAGCAAATTCAATTCCCACTCAGAACAGCTTTAACGCACTTTCTCAATCCGACACACATACCACTCAACCACCACAAACAATTAATAGCACACAAACACCAGATGATCGACTCACAAACTACAGCACCTCCACACCAGTTATGGTTACGCCGGCAGATGGCGCCACACATAACCAGTACATTAAAAAACTCTCCACACTCACAGAAGCCAATTTCTATGGAAAAATTAGCGGCGAGTACATTAAATTATTACCTTGCACAACAGACGATCACAGACAGCTCACTTTAGACTTACAAAAACATAACATTGAACACTACGTTATTACACCAAAACACAAAAGACCTATCAAAGTAGTTATTAGAGGATTACCTATCACAACAGAGACACAAGAAATATCTACAGAACTCACACACTTAGGATACACAGTACACAAAGTCGTTCAACTAACAAGATTCAAAACCAAACAACCTATGCCACTCTTTCAAGTACAACTCATGCAGACACACTTCATAGACAAAATCTACAGTGAAACACACCTAGGCATGTTTATCATCACAGTGGAAAAATACATGAACAAAAATATTACACCTCAGTGCCACAACTGCCAACGCTTCAATCACTCTTCAGACAATTGCTTCTTTTTACCTAGGTGTGTTAAATGCGCTCAACAACACAAAACAACAGATTGCCCCACACAAGGTAAAATTGATAATCCAATCTGTGCTAATTGCTCCAAGAACCACCCAGCTTCCTACCGCGGTTGCGAAAAATTTCCCAAAAATACACCCAAAAACACAAACAGTTCACCAAACTACACTTTTACTCCAAAAAACACTACTTCACAAACACCCACACTCACACAAGGTAGAACTTATGCACAAGTTACATTAAACAACACTCAAAACACCAGAAACCAGAACAACAACACTACACCCAGTCCCAACACTTTTACAGACATATTTTCCACATTAAAAGAATTAAACACTATTTTCGGCAATAGTAATATATTTAAATTTTTTATACTTCTTAAACATAACATAGACCAGCTCAGAACAGTCGACACACCAATGGAAAAACTACTCATCTTATTCGATATATGTTTCCTCACATACATGTCAGACAAGCAATACATATGGCATTAGTTGAAGTTCGATGATGACTTGGTGACAATACTTGCACTCGGGGAAAAGTAGCCGGAAAGTAATTCCTAGAAGTCAGGCAGAGTTTGTGCGTTGAGAGAAGCAAAGTTGAGGGCGGTGTCGATGGGCGGAGAGAAAGCTAATATCTTTAATTAATTTTTGGAAGGGAAAAAAAACTGAAAAAAAACTATTCCAAGTCCAAATACACTCTTAATCTTACACAAATTCACTGCTTGCATGAGGCCCCTCAGCTTTCTTCCAGCAATATACTTTTCTCATCAACCATTGGCCACTTCTCATCATGTGACCAGATGAAATTCTACTCCAAAACAGCTTTCTCTCCGCCCATCGACACCGCCCTCAACTTTGCTTCTCTCAACGCACAGACTCTGCCTGACTTCTAGGAATTACTTACCGGCTACTTTTCCCCGAGTGCAAGTATTGTCACCAAGTCATCATCGAACTTCAACTAATGCCATATGTATTGCTTGTCTAAGACTATGCCTGGCACACTTATGATCCCAATGTTCGAAAAGTGACGCAAGTTCGACAGGGATAGGACTCTTCAGTCCAGGCGCCCTTTGAAAGGAACGCTATGTTCACGGATGATACTATTAGCGTTTATGTGATTCTTAAGTTTAAGATATCTCGAAATCTCTTGTCAGCCTATGAGATAATTGGCTGAATATGTAAAGAACGTTTGATTTCAGGGTTTATATTATGAGCATTCTTCTACTGCTGTAAAAAATTCTTAAGATAATTTCTTAAACTTACAATTAAACTAGAAAAATATGAGTATCGAAAGGAATAAACGCTAAGTTGGAGTCTAGTGCCGCCCTCTGTTGCCTAAATGTAGTTTCTCTTGTTTGAAGCCAAAATATGTTTCAAAACTAACGTACGCAATAACAAAAAGAGGTTTTTCCCCCTTCTTCCTCTTCCCCCTTTAGTGCAACATTAAAGTAATTTATGAGCACTTCAGAATTCCCGAGAAAGCTCTCTTATTTCAGGAACAAAATCTTTGTCCAATGCTTGGCTATTTATAGTAACATGATTATTAAATGGGATATTTAACGGTATAAAATTTGAAAGACTTGTAGAAGGCTGCTTGTGCAAATAAATTATTATTTAAAAAAATAATAGTAAAATGCATTTGATTTTTTTTTTCTCTTTTGGATAACAGATTTCAGATTTTTAAAGCTAATATAAAGTCCAAGCATCAAAGTTATCATAGACCTAACCAATAACAACTACAATATTTTATTGCCTTAAATTGTTGTTGAAAGTTGTGAAAATTAAATTCAATAAAAGTTAAAAGAACTATGAAAAAAAGATGCGCATTCAAATTTTATTATGTTTTAGTGCAATATAATAATTAACCATTTTCATAAAACTTTTAAAACCTTTATTTTTATCTTTAATCATCTTATTTCATATTTTAAACTGTTATTTTCTTTTCCTTTATGACTTCGTATGGTTTTATTTGGGTTTTTTACTTTTTTCAGAAGCTTTTCATTGAACTGTTTTAGCCTTTTTTACGAATATTATATGTTGAGAAATTTACGAAAAATATTATATTTTTAAAGCATGCTTTTTAAAATTTAATTTAATTTTTTAAAATTTTCTTTTGTTAAAATTTTTATACTATGGCCTTCATTTATCGCAAAATTTATTTCGAGGCAAATGTTCCAAATTCTCTTGTACCATTTGCATGAGATATTAAAGATCTGTTTTAATCACCATTGCAGATTAGTATGGATATTTAAGCATCTCTGCTTCAGCAAAAGAATTGTTTTATTGTTAATGAATGCACTACAATCAAATAATGCTGAGGAGGGAGGCGTAATTACACATACGCCTTTACTCTTACGTAATACTTCCATATCGTTAAATGCGCTGCAGCTATTTTGAACAGGCCAAGTGCTATAAATATCTTATTTCTGCAACCTAAAAATTTTGGTATAGCTTCCATATTAACGAGACAATTGTAATATAAATAATTTAAGGAAATTAGAGGAAAGTGAAACTGCTCCGACACTTAAATGTTGTACAAATATGAGACATTGCCTAATAGTAATATTTTTTCTGTTGTTCACCTGCCAGTGTCCGAGCATAGAAGACAGCTGTGCGCTTGTAGTTCAACCCGCTTTCAAATATCGGTGAACGAGCTGGCTGCATGAACGTTTTTCCTGGTTTTCCCTACATGTGCAAGTGAATACGAGTCAGTATCCCTTCAGCTATTATTTATTACATATGAAAACATTTGGGAAAATCAACTCTTCACTACAATTTAATATGCTTTGTCACGTGACATAAAACAGCCAACTACAGCGAGCCACTGAGGTTACGATGCAAAGGAAAACATCCGTACTATCAGCACAGTGAGCTGAATAAAAAATTTCTGCTGAGCATCAGGGAAAAAAAAGGATCAAAACATTGAAGCAGATTGGTGGAATACGAACATGAACGATCTCTTGTTTTTTTTGTGGGAGGGAGAAAAAATTGTACGTCTTTCTTTCAATGGTAAATCCGGTAGAAATTAGCTGGGAACAAGCTGATTGTCTGAAATAGGGGGGTGTGTTATAACGCTTTTAGAAAGTCCTCCACAAAGGCATTTTTTCCCTTACTCTATGTGCATTAATTTTTGTAGCATAGCAACACAGCAATTATGCTCTGCTTGGTTTGAAACTGTAATCTTCATATTCTTATAAAGGAAGAAAAATATGTCATACTTTAAAAAAGGAGGTAGATCGCGGTGATATTTAAAAATGTTTTTTTTTTTCATCAGCATACATATTAATAATATTTTTCATTTCAACTTCACAAATGTAGAAGCAAACTTATAAGAAACGCCATGATTTCCGCTACCGTTGACACGTTTTCCCTCTACATTCTAACTACAGTTATATTTCAGATTAATTTTAGGCCTGTCAGTGGCCGTGGGGCTAAAGCCACTAATCCCTGATACTTTATCTTGGATCCTATTCTTAGCGAACGGCCTTTGGTTCTGGAAAGCTTAAACATCATCATGAACATCATCGTGGGCGTACTCAGATGGAAGTATTCGAAGAACTTTGAATAGTCCAAAGTATGGCAATGATTCCAAAATGATGGAGATGTAATGTATGACATTACATCAGGGGAAAAATTAAATAAACCAAACAAACCTCTTTTCATAATTTTTCAGGTTGCATCAAGATTGTTTATCCGTTTTCAAAAGCAAAAAGTTGCTTAGAATCTATCAGGGTTACATCAGATGAAAGCTCAGATGTCATGACTATGTTGCTACCTACGGTTATTCATAACTGGTGCTAAATCAAGCTTCTTGGTCACAGTTTCAAGGTTAAGAGTATAATACGTAAGTACCATTTTCTCAATATATATACATATGTTACGGTGAAACGCCGAAATCTGGAGAATGTCGACTTTCACCGGTGAATGTCAACATTCACATAGTCTCTTGGTGTATGTCCGAAATATTTTCCAAATACTCTTATTTCTGACTTACAACCGGTCAATGTCGATATTCACCATGTACTGATGGTGAATGTTGAACATATAACAGAATTATTATATTTTCTTCTCCGTAATTCATTCGCGAATAAACGCACTTGAAACTTGAAATAAGAACTTAAGAACATGAGAACCTAAAACACACAATACATTCAAAATGAGAAAGGAAAATAATAGAAGTTAAAAACTTACTCAATTATACAGTACGTTGTAAATGAAAAAAAAAATAACAGTAATAAAAAACTTACTAAATCATGTGATTCAAATCCTTATTTATTGCAACAACTTAAACTATTATGGCCACTTTATGACCTCTCTTTTCGACTTTCACCAGAGCATATCTGTGATTGTCGACATACATCGGTGAGGGTCCGAATATACAAGAATGTAGTGAAATATTCGGTCTTTCACCGACGTATTTGGTGAATGTTGATATTCTCCGGTGAAAGTCGACATTCTCCAATTTCGGTCTTTCACGGTAACATATGTATAAAACTGATAAAATATTCCAAAGTGAATTTTTTAAATGAATTTTATAATATAATAATAATTATTATTTTCGTATAAATATATATATAAATATGAATCTACTCATCTTGAAATACATATCAGTAAAAACATTAGATGCTAATATTCTATAGCAAATAAAAAGAAAAAAAATAGAAAGAATTCTTAACCACCAATGGCGAATTTTCTGACTAATATGATCACCTATGGCAAACTTTCTGATGCAATTTTAAAATTTCATGAAATCTCCAAAACAATGTTGCATCGCCATTGTTTCAATAAAACTAAAATCTGCCATCTGCCCTGCTTGAACTCTAACTGGATTTCGGGAAAAAAGTAAGCAGCAGCACCTCAAAATGCGAGTTTAAGTCATTCTACAATCGAGCTCGTAAGCCGATCTACTCGTATCCTGAAACAATTTTTTCCATTGAAATGTATTTAAATACCATTAATCTGTACAAGCCTCTCAAATAACCACATAAATTTTATTTTTATAAGTTTTAATATAAGAAAAAATACATTGTATTGTATAGAAAATTACTAAAAATTTTATGAAATATAATACAATTATATAAAAAAATAAAGTGGTTTTTATAAAATTTAATTACTGTACTCCACTTACATACATCGTACCGTCATTATTCTTTACCTTTTGTCATTATTCTACTACATTTTTCTCCACTAGTTCCTCATTTTCATTTAAAGTGCGTTTCAATAAAAACTTTCCAAGCAAATTAGTTTCATCCTCCTTTAAATGAAATGTGCTAAACAAATGTCATTGAGCAGAGCTGTTGCGTGACATGTTGCGTTTTTTTTTTTTTTTTTTTTTTTTTTTTTGCGTGTGTTTTATTTTCAGTGAACTCGGGAACATTATTTCCCCCCCCCCAGCTTCTCGATCTGAAGCTCATTTAACTTCTCAAACGTTAAGTTCCTCAAAATACACTCATGTCCATAAATTAAGGATAATGCAAAATCAGGCAAAGGAAGAGTTAGAAGCAAAACAAATTTGACTTATTTGTAAAGCTTATTTGTTAAACAAAAGGTAAAGAGCAAAAAAAGATGCTATATGTTTGATATTATTAAAAAAGTTAGCAATTTTTCCTCCCTGGAGCAAATTTAAAAAAAAAAAAAAACTATTTACAGAAAACCAATATTACATGGTTTGTATGATTGTTAATACATTGTATGTCTCCCAGACGATGCAATACAGTCCGTACAACGCCTAGGCATGCTGAGTATCAAATTATCGATCTGATCTTGGGGGATATTACACCACTCAAAAAGCAATGCTCTCCGAAGTTCCGGTAGACATGTAGGAGGAGGTTGACGGGCTGCAACTCGTCGGCCAAGCATATCCCACACGTGCTCTACTGGATTCAAGTCCGGTGAGAATGCTGGCCAGTCCATACGGGTGATATCCTCCGATTGAAGGCATTCGCTTACGATGTTTGCACGGTGAGGACGGGCGTTGTCATCCATAAACACAAATTGTGCGCCCATGGCGCCCCGAAACGTACATGTTGTTCCAGAATGACGTCTCGATAGATTTGGCTTGTCATGGTTCCAGTTTGAACATGCAGGTCAGTTCTGGAACCCAGAATAATTCCACCCCAAACGAGCACTCCTGCACCACCGTAACGGTGTCGTTCAATGATGTTTTCTTGTTGGTAACGGGTACCTGGAGCTCTCCATATGAAAGTCCGGCGAGAATCAGACTGCAAGCTAAACCTGGACTCGTCGGAAAACATCACACAAGCCCACTGTTGCAGTGTCCACAATGCATGCTTTCTACTCCAGAATAAACGCAGGTGACAGTGAGTTGCAGTAAGTGGAACGCATCTGACAGGTCTACGAGCATATAGACCAATCTGCTCTAAGCGTCTGTACACGGTCTGCCTTGAAATTGTCGTACCGATGGCTCAAGAGAGCTGACGAGACAGGTCTGAGACTGTGCTCTGCCTGTTTCTTTTGGCAGTAACTGCCGAATACCGGTCCTCATTCGGCGTTGTAACTCTGGGGCGACCTGTGCTGTAACGTCTACTCACGTTACCATCATCTTGGAATCGTTGCCAAAGCCTGGAGATGACACTCTGGGCAATTCCAAGTTCGTCTGATACTTCCAGTTGGGTACGCCCACATTCCAGACGGCCGATAATTCTACCACGTAAAAAATCATCCAAATGCGTCCTTTGTGTCATAACTATTCGGTTATTGCACTGAAATGCTTATAAAGCGCCTGCGAACAATTTTACTTCTTTGCCTGTATTCCTTATATATCACTCTCTTACACTCTCGTCATTGTGACGTACCATCGGTGTCATCTGGTTACTTCCTGAAATTTGCATATGATTCTTGAAGATGTGTGTAGTGATTTTACAGGTGATATATTTATTTTAGAGTTCGATTTCCGCGTGACTTCGAATTATCCTTAATTTATGGACATGAGTGTAATTAACTAATTCTGATCCCTTCTGAGCCTATCAAGCAACTTATTGTCCCGTCTTATAAAATACGACAAGTAAGAAGAATGTTTAAACAAATCTTTTCATTTAAAACTTTGAACTTATAAATGCACTATAGCTCACAAAGTAATCTCCGAAGCTTCCGGGATTCAACGAACATAAAATATAAATGGAAAATTATTTTGCTTTGAAATTTACAAATGCAAGAGCCTAACGAGCGCTGGCTGAGTTATAAGGTAACTGTGCGAGTTATTCGGCTGTCAAAAGGCTAATGTTGGATAATACATTTCCAAAGAGCTAGATGAGGAAATAACACTACGGTTCGTGCCGTTGCCAAAACTTTCTCTTTCGAAACTTCAAAAACTCTTCTCTCATATATACTCAATCACTTTTCATCCTGGTAAAGGGTGACGAAAAGAAGAATTGAGAGTATATCTAAAATAATTGGATAATGAGTTTATTTAAAAGATATTTCTTCCGCATTCTTAGCATGCCTTCGTGGTGTAATGGCCATCACACTCGGCGCGTATTCGAGAAGTCAGAGTCCCGGCGAGGGCATTGCTTATTTTTCACGTCTCCCGCTTCAAAACTTCCTAATATCTCTACAAATTAACATAAATGTTACAGTCGTTTTCGCAAAAATTTAAACTATTCTAAAACATTCGGCGGTCCTCATTCGGCGTTGCAACTCTGGGGCGACCTGTGTTGTAACGTCTACTCACATTACCATCATCTTGGAATCATTGCCAAAGCCTGGAGATGACACTCTGGGCAATTCCAAGTTCGTCTGATACTTCCAGTTGGGTACGCCCACATTCCAGACGACCGATTATTCTACCACGTAAAAAATCATCCAAATGCGTCCTTTGTGTCATAACTATTCGTTTATTGCACTGAAATGCTTATAAAGCACCTGCGAACAATTATACTTCTTTGCCTGTATTCCTTATATATCACTCTCTTATACTCTCATCATTGTGACGTACCATCGATGTCATATGGTTACTTCTTGAAATTTGCATATGATTATTGGAGATGTGTGTAGTGATTTTACAGGTGATATATTTATTTTAGAGTTCGATTTCCGCGTGACTCCGAATTACCGTAATTTATGGACATGAGTGTATTATGCACACGCGTCCAGTGCAAAGTAACCAAGCGAGAGTAAGTTCGCTCTTCAGTTACAGCATCAACTAATGGAGTTGCAGCGAAATTTCTGATTTTCTACTCACATTCATATATAAACATTTGCTCGAACGCCGGCTCATATCCCAAATATCTCATACGCAGAAACATTCGTATCCAGAGGTACCACTGTAATTGATTCTACACCAATCTACATCCTCAAAAAAGAGGTGTGACATTAAATAATTAATTCCTACAGGTGTAACAAAAATAGTCTTTTTTAGTCTTCAGAGGCAAATTTTCTCTCTGGATTCGTTACGATGTTATTCAAATGATGTTTCCGTGTAATATTATCCTTTTAGATATTCTAGAAATAAATTATAATTAGGTGTTTTATTTTGAATTTAATCTGACAGATTCATCACGCCTATTTATTAACTAATTTTGTTTTAGTTTTATGATTTTTTTTAAATTTGCATTTAAATTCTGTAATAAATGCACTGTATTATAAAAAAAATATTTCTGAATAAATAAAATGGGTGCGTACTCATTAAATGAATAAATAACTGTCATATACAAATATAAGTACATGCATTGTGTCCGAGCTCATAATTTTTGCATTGCACTCTAACCCTCCCCCCGAAGGTTCAGAATTCTTTTCGTTTCCCAACTTTGTTAGATCAAGACAATATTCGCACAAATTTCGCCTTGCCATCTTTTCTTGGAAGTTAACGTAAATTAAGTGTAAAGA